CCAAACATTTCTCACAGCAATGTAAGGCAATTTATTAAGATAGTGAAGCTCTGAGAATAGGAAAATACTGTAATGTATAATCTCTTAATTTAAACATTCCAGTTAATAAAATGTTTTTATGCTATAATAAGTTAAATACAAAAATGCTCCATACGCATACAGAGAATTAAATATTTTAATAAATGACCCACCAAAAATATGGAGACAAATTTGCATTACAGGGTTCGTAGCTGCAAAGAACAATGTCATCCAAAAGCTGCAACTGTTAGAAGAAGACTATTAAATTGGCACTAACAAGTAGATGAAATCTTCCGATAACAGATGAGCAAGTTAAAACAGTTCTCAAACCAGCCACAAAGACAACGTACAACCCGTTACACATCACATGAGTAAAATTTCAACACGAAGCCACTTGCCGTTTGCGTTACCTCTAGATCTGAAATGAAATCAGCAACACCTCCTGTCGAGCTCAGACAACTGGGCAAACATTCCCTTCACGGATAAATCACATTAGAATTTACATTATGATTTCTGATTTATATTTAATTATATATATATGTGTGTGTGTGTGTGTGTGCGTATGAAAACATTGAAATTGAGATAGCCGATGAAATATTGAAAGAAATGGATGTGATATTCATGGAGGTGGTTTTCTGTTTACAGAAGCATCATTTATAAACGGTCTCACTAATCTGTATACCTTTCTGAGAGGAACAATTGACATATCAGTAGGTACAGGCATGAGGTACAGTATTGCACTGTTAGGTTTCTCTAGAGTGCTGTCAACCACGGATATCATTCCATCTTGTTTTAGTTTACAACTATCTGGAAATGTGAAGATATCGTGAAGCTTGGATAACACTCTCACTTGCTTTGAATATTACTGAACATATCTGGAACACCTTAAATTGGGAAACACTAGCTATCACCAAGGAACCTATATGTGCTCACATCGGTCTTTTTCAAGATGTGGTAGTTGTGTTAAAAACACAAGAATTCATAGATGATCTACAAATAATAAATAACCTATATAAACTATTGTTACAAATGTTGGAAATATACACAAAATGAAGCAAATTTTACCTTATGGTGTAGAAGCATGTTGGCAATCAAAACTACTTGAAGTCACCTTGAACTAACGATGACCAAGCACTCTAGCTTTGATAAATGAGGGCATTATCTTGAAATATGCAGTTATTCATAAGAAACAAAATCTGCGCCATTTAAAATGGATATGGTTGCTTAAAATATTTACATATTCACAACTATTTGTTTTTCCTTGTAGGATCAACAGAACAATTTCGGGGCGGTTTAATATGCAAAGAATATTTTTTTAAATTATTTTTTTAATCGTTCGGTTTAATAGCTTTTTATTTTTCTGGATTCTAATTCTACATCGTTATTTCCATAAAAGAAAATATTTTCGTCAAATTTACAGGGGTGTCGTTTTCTATTCCTTTTCCACTACTTTCCAGAGTCCATCATTCGTGCTAATTTTGCGCTTAGAAAGAGCTCATTTCAAAACACAAAGGCACAATAATCCATAACTGAAACGTCAGAGGACTGGAAGAATACATTGAAAAGTTGTTACGCAGTACCCGTACCAGACTTCATTTTTCAAGGACAGCACTGATGCTTTTCAAAATATGACTTGTTACTTTGTCTTGACGAATTTTCACTCTATGAAAGTCATTGGGATAGAGAAACAGAATTTTTTATGTAAATATCAGACATAGAAATTTTTTTGATAGTACGTTGAATTCATTTTAACACTTTTTTTCACTCTTCTTAATTTTCATTTTCCATTGTAAGAGAATCCTACGACAATCATGAATACCCTACTGAAACTTTCATTGCATTAACAGAAGCAGGTTCGTACATTGTTTTCTTTCGTTTTCGATAATTAAATAGACCTTTTTTATTGCTGCCATTTAAGTAAACCCATCTTCGTCAAGAGTCGCAATGTATTTCCATTTACCTTTTGATAAAAAGTTTTCACACAGGATTCTATAAATTATTCTGCGTTAAGCCAGATGACTCGGCAAAAGTTGATGAACATCATGTTTTTCAGCTTTTTTAAGTTGAAAATTTTGATTTATTATTTCATTTATTGTTGCTACAGATGTATTTAAAAACTTTGCAATATATTTCTGCATCGGTGGATTTTTTTCTTGTTACCAATGATTTAAACTTAAAAACATTAGAAACAGTACGTACCTTTTTCGGGTATTCGTTTGGAGTATTCTTTCCATGTAGAAGTAATGACTGATGTTTTTACCCTTTCCGATTAAAAATGTTGCTTATTTTGCATTTAGAAATTTCACGTTTTTGAATTATGGAATAGGAATATCTCTCTTCGGGAAGCTCAGAAACATATACTTCAATTCGCAGCTTGTTCACATGAGGCATTTTGAAAGCAGAATGAATTTAAAATTAGCAGACGATATTTTTCATTCCAAATAAAATGTTGCCAAAAATTTTATTCCAAAACATTTTTTATTTTTCTCGAAATCGTTCTGAAAATATATAAACACTATGTAATTTAAGCATCGGGAAGCTTAAATTATGACCCAATAAGACTGAGCACAGAATACCTAATCCACCGCCATGTTTATTAGATGATGACCGCCATGTTTAGGTGATCTAAAATCATAAGTTCCTCACCCATTAACTTGGCCTAAAGTGTAGAATATTGTAAAGATTGACTCATCAGAAAACAGTATTCCATTGAGCAGCATTCCCGTTTTATGTTTCTTGGATCCTCATAATTTCCATTTTACAATTTATTTGATAAGTAACAGGTTTCGATGTAAACGATTTGCTGCGAATATTCTACTTATGTAGTTATTTTCGTACTATATGTGTCGAAACCGCGTTCAATAGATACGAATTAAGCTTAACAGTCACTTTTGTCTCAATAGTTTTCTTTCTGAGATACGAAATCTTTTTATTCTTCTCGCTATGTCATGAACTTTTGTTTTCCTTCTTTCATTATGTCTCATATGCAATGTTTTCCACGAATATTTTTATGTTGCCGTGACTTTAAACATAGTACTTTTCAATTCCCGCTTTCCAATAATTTTGTAATTGCCAACGAGCCAGATACTAATAATCTGACTCCTCCTTACAAATTACGTCTTCACTCACAAATGAAATTTGCGATTTTGCACTACCGTGAGGATATATGTCAAATAATCATATAAAAACTTGCTACTATTGCGGTTTACTGCGTAACTGATAGAAATAAAATTACATTTTTCAGCATAAGGAATCCATTATTTTGGACAAACCCTAAACATGGTTATCATCTCTTGTACCAGCTCAAAGTGGTGATAACCATAATAGGCCTTTCTTACTCTCTACTTTCTCATGCCACGTAAATATTTTTCTTTACATATTTAGTCCTCGAAATGTGATTAAATTGTAAGGAATGAATGACGTTCCTCCCAGATATTTTTGTAGAGCAACTGGATTGTACATCTTGCTTCTAAAGAAGAAGATTGGTGATCAATGCCTAGGAAAGTACAATTAATTTTTCAGAAAGTTCTACTCAAAAATATAATGACTTTGTTGTCCTTAGCTTGATTTAACTAGATATCATCTTCTATCTCGAGTCATCTTTAGGCGAAGTTACAGTGTAATAAATTAGACATGAGCTCTTGTATAACAGCAGCACCTCCAGCTAGCAATTAGGAAGACACGGATTCCATGCCGCCGACAGAACAATTTGATTTTCAAGATTTCTTGCTTAAAAAAGAAATAAATTAATTACTACTCAATCACCGAAAAAAAATGCAGTGCACTTGTCTAACAAGTGAGTAATAATGTCTTTGTTAAAGCTCCTGTGACAGCCTGGCCTCTGCGACGGCTAGTAAAACTAGTTGCCATATTGTTCGGCCCAGATATCATTGAATCTTGAAGAAGGCATGAATGTTTAGAAACGTATAGTATCTTTGCAGCAAAAAGCATTTAATATTTGTTGAAACGAAAGTTCATTCGACAAGCCGATGCTTGATACAGAGGGGGTACGAAACCCTTGGATTACGCCATCCGATGCATTTCCAATCAAAACTAGGATGAATATTCTGTCACAATTAGATTATAACAGATGTTCTCTCCCCCTATCCATACTACCTTTGTGAAGTTGTTCATAGCCTTTGTGAAGTTGTTCATAGCCTTTGTGAATTTCTTTCGTAAAACAGCTACAGGAAATGCAGCAACTGACCTCCTATCAATGTTCACTGCATTTTTATTCCTATGTTTTGAGTAATGTTGATTTCTAGAGATTACCGTTGATTGCTGAGTGTACGCCATTGTAAGAGCGGAAACATGTGTCTAACAAACCAGAAATTCATGCAGAGTAAAGTTAAAAATTAAAGATTTGGGGTTTCATTCTGTATTTAACTAATATGCAAAATTTATGCTGTTCTGTCTGTTCCGTTCTTATTGTTCGAGTCACAGCATTGACGCCAGAAGTATTGAAATTAAATTCACATAAAAGAATTAGTTAAAACTGAATAACATCTAAAATTGCCGCAATTGTTTCCTAAGCGAAGAATGAGATGAATCAAAAGCTTTAAAATTTATGTCTACGAAGAAATATCCCCAATGAAAGGATTGAGTAAACCTTTGAAATAGTTATATGATCCCTTGTTATAAAAGAATGAAATTCTTAGTTCATTTTGAAATATATTTATCTATTTTTATTTACAAATTAAAAATTGCGAAAATGGAAATACTGTCCTTATCTCTCTCATATATTGTATGAGCCTATCTTTCTCTGAATGGCTCTGATTTACGTCTTGGATAGGAGTTCCACAAAGGATTATAATTCATATTTCGCTGGTATGACTATTGCTTCATCTGTGAATTTACAATATCATGAATGTATTTACAGTGATTCAGATGTAACAGACGTTTAAATTTAAAATTTTATTAGTTTATTATTAATAATGTTCAGCCAATATTAAGAAGTGAAAATAAATAATGCGAACACAATATTTTAATAATCCCTTTTCTATTTATTAGTTAATACATAACATTGAAAAATACAAATCACATAATACTATCACAGCCAATATGACTTGACTAGACAGGCTTATAGCAGGGGTGTCAAACTGGCGGCAAAGATTTCAAGATTTTAGTTATTTGAGTTAATATTATTTTTCATTTCCGTTTAGTTATTCTATTTGGTCATTCGAGTTTATATTATTTTCATTTCCATCAAAAATGAACGTATAGGAAATATATAAATGTAGTTAATTGATTTACAATATGATATAAATCTTATTCACAGATTTCAAGATACAAATTTCATTAAATTTTATTCATAGTTATCAAAAAGTAAGTTAGGAACATTTGCACTAAGAATGTACATTTTGTTTGGGAATACTCACAGTTGAAAATTGGTAAGAACTCAATTAAAGGCTGAGCAAATACTACAATCCGTAATGAAGATAACTTACAGTAATTTTTCTCCAAAACTACAGACTTTATCAAAATCTAGTACCATCAAGCATCAAGCATGCATCAAGCTGTAGTAAGAAAAAAAGAGTTTATAATAAACTTGTATACAAATATAAGTATTTTCTTTTTATCCGCCGAAAGAATAATACATAAGAGAAAGAAATTAGGTTGTAGAGACATTAGGTTAGTTTTGAGAAGCAGGAAAGATGAAAAATTAGCAAACGCCTTCGCCGGGACTCGAACCACGGACCTCTGGATACCGGTCCAGCGTGCAGAACCACTACACCACGAAGACACGCTAGGAAAGAGGGAGAAATACCTTATAAGGTTATCATTATTAATTCTCAGGTTTGGTATCACATGGAAATGCTTCTCTGAAAACTTCAAAAGTGGCTTACTTTTAGTTTAAATTTAAGTAAATTATTTTATGATTAATTAAACATGTTATATAGAATTATTTGACGGGAATATCAGTTTAGGAATTTAATATTTAGCTGTCATTTTGCAAGTACCAAAAATTTAAATTTCAGATAGAAAATTAACAGAAATTAGAGTTGTTTTCCTTTATGATATTATTGTTGTTTATGTCACGTTTTGATAAATACTTAGTATGCGAAACTTAAAATTTATTAAAAATATTTTTCATTTTGTTAATATAATTTTTTAATTTTGAAATAAAGAAATCTGGCCTATCTTAATTGTTTCAAGAACATGCATGTGGCGAGTTTGACACCACTGTATTAAAGGCACGATATACTGTAAATACGCAATGAACATAGCCATGCATTTGTAGAAATACATATTATTAGCAAATACAAATTTCTTTCCATAAGCTAAGAACTATAATAACTTTTAACATGGTACAAGCATTTCTGCAGCTAATGTTTTGTAGAGTGACTTGTACAGTATATTGCATACATACTATGCTGTGTCTGAAGCAAAACAAATTAAGAAATAAAAATATCAAAAATGTACCTTACTGTTGCAATGCATTTCAGGATTTCGCTTCGTTTTTTAATATTTTCCTCTTTGGAGAAGTTTACAAATTAGAAGAAAATAGTTTATTATTTTGTTAATTAATATTAATTATTTTACTACATTGTTTAATCATAATAATTTTTAGACAGTCTCATAACTGAATGAATATAACAACTGTGTAAGACAGCAAAAATGCACGAACAGTAATACATTTAATTAAATACATATTTTATTATTTAAATAAAATAAATAATTATATTTTTAATTTAATAAGCAAGCAATATCTTAAAATTTTTATCTATATAAAGATTTAAAAACAATCAAAACGGAATATAATTTTTTAATTTTCTAAAGAAAATTGAATGCTTTTAAACATTTCGTGTTCGAACTTACTTATTTGATTAAATTAGATAAATTCTTAATTTTATCAATAATATTCAAAAAGAATATATACTTCAGTGAAACGGAAAAAAAATTTAAACAATTCTAAATAGCTAAAATAATGTTTTAGCTGGTACTAATTTTTATTTTATGATTTTACGATTACAATCAATACAAAAGAGCACAAGAGGCAGCAGCTACGTCAAAATATTATTAATACAGATGTAGTTTTCATTTTCATTTATTTCCAAGCCGGCATAAATTTTTTCTATTTCTTCTTTATAATACCAATTTTTCCTTACTCAGTAATAATTTAAAGGATTAATAATTATATACTAATTTGATTTTTAAATTAGAAAATTCCACACCTCTTGTTTTAGCTAACTAATTAAAACCAATACTGTGTTTTAAAATTTAATCATTTTTACCTTGTTTCCTGTTCAGTTCTATTCTTCTAAATTATTTACTTCTTATTTGATTACTTCATTAACATAAAAATTAAATATGCTTTAGAAAATCATTCTGCTTTAGCTTGCAGATTCCTTGAATATCGTTATAATCAGTGTCATCTAGGACTTCCACATTTTCGTATAACAGTATTTGGAGAACATACGACTTACTTTATTAAACACCTACGATTCTAGGCTTTTTAAACAAACAACGTAAAAGAGTATAGTGCATATCGTGTACATGGCATTTTTAATGACATATTAAATTCTACAAGCGTAAAAATTAGCTAAAGTTTGCAAAAGCTAAATTTTTCTCCTATAAAAGGCAACTGAATTGATAAAATAAGGTGATTCGCTTAGCAAAAAGTTTAAGCCCAGCTCATAATGTTCTACGAATATAAAATTATAAGATCATATAAGATTTATTTAGTTTTTCAAACTACTTTTAGTTCTTCTAGTTTAAAACTACTTCTTAAGTTCACATTTTCAATCCCTTCTCTCAACTCATGCAATAAGTATTTCGTACAGTAATATGCTAATAAATAAATAAATCAGAAAATATAAATGGCTTTACAAGAAAAAAGCAGTTAGGTTCGCATTTGAATATGTAATGATTATCTGGGTGATCTCTACTCTTCTGGTTTCTAGGAAAAAATAATATGCAGTTGTAAAGGAAGGATTAGCTGTTCGGAATTAAGGTGATTCTTTCCAGTAAACTTTGCTTAATACCAAGAATTAGCTGTCAGGAATTAATAAGATTCTTTCTAGTAAGCTTTGATTAATGCCAAGGATTAGCTGTCAGGACTTAATGTGATCCTTTCCAGTAAACTTAGATTAATACCAAGAATTGGTTCTCAGGAATTAAGGTGATTCTCTCCAGTAAGCTTTGATTAATGTCAAGGATTAGCCGTCAGGAATTAATTTGATTCTTTCGAGTAAGCTTAGATTAATACCAAAAATTGGCTGTCAGGAATTAAAGTGATTCTTTTCAGTAAGCTTTCTAATGCCAAGAATTGGCTCTCAGGAATTAAAGTGATTCCTTTCAGTAAGCTTTGATTAATGTCAAAAACTGGAGCTCAGGAATTAAGGTGATTTTTTCTAGTAAACTTTAATTAATGCCCTGTCTGAAATTAAGGTGATTCTTACCAGTAAGTTGCCACTAATTAAAGCTAATTTACTATGAGCTGTGTTCATCTGGGCTTCAGATTTTCTGCTTCTGAATATCTATTTTTGCTTATATTTAATCTTAAGAAAGCAATTCTGTTTTTACCAGTCTTTTAAATAAAGCGATTATGTTCTTATGATTTTTGTGAGAGTTCTGTTTTATGGAACTTCTATTTGAACTGATTCTCTTTTTATCAACACTTTATGCAAAGTGATTCTGAATTTATTGATCTTTCATCTGAAACATAAGAAAATAGTTGAGGCAGGGATTTCAAAGTAGAAGCAAAGGATGGCTAGCTCACTTTACGACAGTAAATCATCTTATAATGGTAACAAAAGCAATAGTAAGAGAATAAAATATAAATTTCAAATATTCAAGAGGTTTTAGAATAGATCGCCCTTTTATGATCAGACAAACAGAAGTATATTATATCTATAAACATACAGTTTTAAAACAGCTGCAGCTGTTGACAATTTTGGAAAATCCTAGGGTAATTGATTACGTTATGTTTTGCATATACCCATATAAGGAGAAGAAAGATGACTTTTGTTCGCGAAAATGGGTGTGTACCAATAATACTTAATCGGTCTCGTATACAGTTAATTTATAAAATGTTACCTTTCATGAATACAGATCATCTACAAAATTAAAAGAACAGTGTTTATTCCAATTTAAAATTCAAAACTTTTCAACGCAATCTCTACATAATGTTTCATTCAGCTCGTCAAATCCTCTCGACTCAGTAATAAACTGGAAGATCGTTGATGACGCAGATGTTGAAGAACAGAAATATTTGGAGTCATGTAGACTTAATAAGAAGTAGTCGTGTCAGAATATTGCTTTTTATTTCTCGTTGACATGCATTTGTAAGCCAACAAAATAACTTTAAGAACTGAATCGGGATTGCTTCATTTTAAAATACTATAATTTTGAAGAGAGTGTAAACTCTCTTCATTTGCAAAAAGCTAGGAAGAGGAGTAGAAGAGAAAAGTGACGTAATCCAAGATTATGCTTGTCTGAGGAGGAAAAACATTTTTGACTCTCCGTTCTGAATTAATTGCATCATCCAGTGTTAATCCATGGACAGGGAAAATATCCAAATTAAGTTAAAGGATTATTGCAAATTTAAATTAGAGTTTTGATTTACAATTTTTTTTATCTTAGCTATTCGAATTTTCATTTAGTTATAAAAGTTTTAAATTATCATTATAGTTGATATTTTGTGCAGAGTTCTATTTTAGGTAAACTTATGACTAACTAAACAGGGGGGAAAGGCTGGTTAAAGAAACGGCTTTTAACAAAATGCTATAATGCGTGCTTTGCCGCATTAAAATACTCACCTTTGTACTATTATGAGCAAAGCTATAAACGTTAAAATTGAAATTTAAGATATTTCGAGTTACGTCTGAATATATCTTTAAAAATGGTATTGTTCTTTTATAACTTTTTCTTCTAAAATACTTATACTTGGAACTATTTCAGATTTCCTTTAAATTTACGTCATGAAAATTATTGACGATTTCTAGTTGCTATCGTTTATAATCACTCTTTGTTTTCAAATATGTTAGACCTCCTAATTTTTTTGATGGCTAAAACTTATAATTGTTTCATTTGAAACATCTTTACTATGATAAAGTTTGGTTATAACTGAATATTTACTAAATAAATCGGAACTGAAAAACTAAATTTGAAATTTTCCGGAGGGAAGTAGTGATGTGGCAGTCCTCAACAACATTTGATCTACCTGTATATCCCCTATGATTTCTATAATTCAGTATTATACAGTTATACATTAGTATTAGATATCTTTTAATCTCATTTCATTACTTACATGAGAGGGGATTCATTATTTCCATGAGATCAATTGATTTTAATACGCATTTTGTTTGATATCTTTTAGCCCCGTTATTAAGTGAAACTTCGTTTCATCTGACTAGTAGTGTGACTCAATTATTTAGTATAATTACCTCTATATATAATGCAATTTTTAATGCACTTGATATCAAAAACGATTGTTATTTGACTAGATAACCTGCACATGTGGCTTGAATATATTTTTATAGACAATAAGCTAATTTTTAAACATCACGATAAATATTTGGCTCATTTTTACTTATTTCGGGAGGTAATTGGACGGAATAGCTGAAAATTTATCCAAGTTTTATTTAAGATACATACCTGAGATATATTTCTTTATACATAAAACAAGCCGTTTCAAGTAAGGGCATTATCTGAGTGTAGCGCTTATTCATAATGTTACTGTCATATTTATTGGCATGTAAATAAACGAATTTTACTCCATTCTAAACAGAACAACTCTTTTGTTATACCTTACAGGTTTCTTTTAAACATCAGGCAAATAAACTTACGTCTGAATCAAACCTTACTTTTACTAAAACACATCATTAACTGTGCAATGATGTCAATGTAGTCAGCTTTAATTTCATCTAAATTTTAAGCAGCGCCTTTGAATGTTTTTCTACAATGTGGCTTAATTCAATTCTCTTTTATTCCAGATGTATGATTTCTTAAATTTCGTTACAGTCTCTCACACATAAAAAAGCATAACTACGTCCCATATTTCTCAAAAGTAATAATTACTGAAATTAAAGAACAAAATTAATATTGCTATATTGGATTAGTACAGAGGTGAAGAACTTTTTTTTTTTAATTAAATGCAACATGCATAAGGGAGAAAAGAAATTGTGTGATCTCTGTAATGATGATGATTATGCTCTGTTAACGATTTTACTCCTCCAGTGTAATTCTGGGAAGTAGATGTAGTGCAGAAGCAAAGTCAAACATCGCTGTGACCTCCACACACCCATTTCACATGAGAAGCTTTTTTCAACTCAGTTAATACATTAACTGACATGGCATGGCACTGGCATCCATAAGCGCACCATCCTAGAAAATATAATTATGATATTAAAAAAAAGAATCAGGTTTTACACACAGTATTCGCAAAAAACAGGTAGCTACAGACTTTATTTTCGTAAATATTAGATTTGCATTTTCAATTATTAAGATTTAAAAATTACGTTTCAGTGTCTATTGATCAAAATTCGATATTATTAGATAGAATGCAGAGACCAAACTGTTCGTTTTTGGCGATTAACGGCTTCGTATTGTGGTAAAAATACACTCATTATTAATTTAGAGCTATGAAACAATTAATTACTAATATCTCCAGAAAAGATACAGAATTAATGCAGTTAACTTACTACTAAGGTTGTTCGCACACATTTTTAGACGATTTTCTTTGTATTTACAGAAATATTTTAGCTAAAATTTTGTGTTTAAAATGTTTCATTTGATAATCCTTATTCTTAACTATCTTTCTACACCTTAATTTCTAAGATAATAAAGCTCTTTTTAGTAGCGGAAGAGGTATTTCATCCTATTTCTATTAAAGCTTTCTTCTCTTGAAGAGTCCAAAGAGGACTGTAGGTCGACGACTGGGCAATCCGCTATTTTAAAGTCCAAAAATCCGTGGATGATACATCAAGAGATTTAGTAAGGATACGAGTGAAGGGTATGGCCTTAATACACGTTTTTTGTTTCATTTTTTTTCAGAAAATAAACAGTGGATTTTGACATACCGCTGCTTGCTTTGTCTTGATGCGTTCTACTGGTTGATGGCACTGTGGATACAGAGAAGGCCCTTCCTATTTAAAAACTGGGTATAACTTATGTTCCTGATAATATGTGAAGTTGACAGTTTTCTGCATTCTCTTTACTTTTTATTTGCCGTTATATCAAAAATCATAAATTCCCTAAATAAACTTTGTTTAGGTTCTTTGAATGATATTCTAAGATATTTTTCTTCTCCTTTATGATAATAAATTAAACTTTTTTATTGCGGTCATTTAAATATATCCAAGATTCATCAACTGTGACAACATTTTTCCATTTTTGCCCAAATAATCGTTTCTCACAGAGAATTTCGCAACGCGTTTTGCTTTCGGCGATATACCGTGGAGAAAAAGGCTATGCACATTACATTTTTTCGCCTTTTTAAGATTCAAATCAGCATTAATTACTTTGTTTACAATTGACACTGAGAATTTTAATGATTATGCAAATCTCCTTCGATTTCGAAGGTTTTCTTTTAACATTAAAGTTCATACCTTCGCAACATTCGAAACATTCCATTTTTTTCCTTGGATATGTATTTTAAAAAATTTTCTCCTTAAAGCCAGATGACGTTTCCCCCCTTTTTTATAGACAATATTATCTATCATTGGTTTATATAACGAAAAATCATGACTTTCACAGCATTTTTTAATAACTAAATACAAACAACTTTCTTCGGAAAGAGTGAAAATCCGTGGAAGCAAGCCTTCCGTTCATTGCTTCTTTAAAAGCGCCGTTTTGCACGAAAACAAAATTATCAAATAGAAGGCGATTATTTACACTATCAAAAATAAAGTTGCATTTAAAATTTTTCCAAGCAGGCGATTTTTTTATAGCAAAGCAAAGTCGTCTAAAAATGTGTGAAAGCTTCTGTATTACATAATAATACTAACTGGACACCTTTCACTGCGGAGACTATATAAAAAATTGTCTCTTGTATTTATAGGACTTTCCTATGGAGAAGTAAGCACTATTTATAGTGCTGAAACTAAAAGAGAAAATCCATAAAAGTCTTTTTATCCTCTTTTGAGAATACTTATTATGTTACATGGAAATGCAATCAAAAATTCACTATTCGACACTTTTCTCAACATGACATGTAACAAAAGTTAAATTCTCTTCACTGAAAAAAGAACTAAAATGGTGGGATTCATATTTATATGGTATTGAATGCTATATCATATGCAATTAAATATTTAATATTTAGCTAACAGATTTTTAAAAAGCATTTGTTGTGAACTGACCAAAGAAAGCGCTGTTCCCAATTATTCGGTGATTTGACCCGACTGTATGGCAACCATGAACTAAGTATACAAGGGGCAATGCTATTGTGAACCTAGTGTTGAAATGCAATTAGGTAGAATGGGAAAATCCGACATGTTATACGTTAAGCATTTTAATGACTGTGTTTGTTCTACACAAATAAATAATATGAGAATTCTTCATGAATGTACGATTTTGACTTACGAACCAGATTATGTCCTACACAGCATTGACTGCTAGGAAAGTCCAGATAGCATAACAATATTTCTTTGCATATGCCACATCGAATCTAACGTACATAGTAAAGGTTAACCTTTCCATGTTCACTTTGTTCATTCCAGAGATAATTTTTTTCAGCTGCTAGTACATAAGCATATTTTTTTCCCAGATGCACAACTGTCTGAATTCACTGTGAAAACGTTTTTCTGAAATCAGAAATAATGAATCATTTGAGATACAATCCAGATTTCGCGAAGATCATGGAAAGGGTCCTAAATGGCATGTCCTGGAAAATGAACATGAATGCCTAAATGATGAAAGGTTCGATGGTACACAACTTTAGTAAAAGGTGACGCGATCAGGTTCTTTCACATCTTGGATTTCGGGAAATTAAATTTCATTCAAGATCATTTACAATTTTCCTTTTCTAGAAATTAAGAGCATTATAACAGTAGTTAGGATTGCTTACAACGTGAAATGTAAGCGATAATTACTGAAATCTTTACCTTGCAATTTGTTTTTGATTTATACTTTGTAAGGATTATGTTAATTTATCTAACAGTTAATTTGAGTTAAAGTTACTTTCCTATCCTTTCTTAATTTCAAGCTTACAACTTCCAACCAGAACGTACTTTTAGAATCGCGTTTGAATGCAAATGAGGAGAAGTATTTAACTGTGAAGTTCTACTGACTTCGTTAGAGAGAGAACCAGTGATTCTGACTAGCGCGCGGCCGCCTTTTTAGGCTACTCTCTCTTAAGCTATTATTACGTACAGCCGTACTTTAGGCCTTTGATAGCTTCGCTGTTATTTAGAGTTAAGGGGCCAAATCTGTTAGAATCTTGATAGACTCGGCTATTTCTTTTAGTTAAGTTAATTTCCTAGTTTTTGAGTTCAAGCCCGAGAGGAGGCTTTGTTGTTAAACACCGAGGAGGAGTTCTGTGAGATTAATTTGGAATAATAAAGGGTCTTGAACCCAAGTTTTATTTTCTGTCTCACGAACTCAAGCGATTATTCGCTTACCAGTTCTTAAGGTTCCTCAACTTTAGCTACAGATTAAAACACATAGGAATCTTTCAACTGAATATAATATTCAATATATAATTACAAGGCATTTAATTGATATTTACTTAAAAGGAAGCAATTATTTGAATGATCATTATAAAAAAGGCTTATTATCACTACTTTTAAAGCAAGGATATTATGATTAATGTCAAATGAATGCATTCTTCTTCTTATTATTATTATTAAAGCAAAGCATCATCTACATGTATTATCATCAGCTACTTTAAAATTTTTTTTAATTGTTATTATTACGTTATTTGAACTGGTTACCTTTCTTGACACGAAGTTTGGATCTCAGCTTCTCAAATATAGGCATATTGTTCCGCAAGAAGAGATAGCTAGTACTCGGATCCCAAGCGAAATCCCGGAAAACGGAAACCTTGAAATCACAGTTGGTACATCGCAAGTTGTTGCAAGCACTGAAAATAAATAAATAAATAACTCATACAGTTAAAACGTTTAAGCTGTCAATAATGCATTAAAAAGGATTTGATACTCATATAAACAAATAGAATTTAAGTTATAATAAAACTATATTAAACTATATTAAAACTCGTATTTTTAATAGAGTCGTGCTTTCATTAAGAAGAAATAAACTGGATCTTCTAAACTGGATAATTTAAAATTCAACGTATAAACGCTGAAAGGAGCTAGGGAGCATCGTTATGAACTATATTCACACAAGAAAGCAGAACTGGAAGCGAAGAAGTTATGTTGTATACCTGTGCTCCAGGTCGGCTTGGTTTTCGGTTGGACCGATCACGTGGACCCCAGATTCACCTCATTTACCTTGCATCGATTTCTTTCGGCAGCTCCTTAGTACGTAGTTAATCACTCTGACTACTGTATCTAACGGCCCTAGTTCGTATCCCAGAGAAGCATGGATGTTGCAAATGTATAGTGTCCTTGCGGCATGGAGGTATAGAAAGCCTCTCATGTGGTTTGGTGGTAACGGGAAAGGGGTGGGAGACCTTCGAACTCACCCTCCGGGGTTCTCAAAATTCGGTCGGAACTGGGCAGAAGGCATGCTATCTCCCATATGATGTTCAAGGCTCATGCCAAACGACAGACGCAAAAACTGCACTCCTAATCACTATGATATTCGTGGATTTCTTCCTAATATGTCAGAAAAATGAGATATGACAAAAATAACAACATGGATTTCTTTCTGCATTCGATTCAGTCTCCTGTGTAATTGCTTCTGACGTGGATTTCATGGCAAGAATCGCCACAGACGCTGCTAAAAGTCCGCGAAATTCCAGGTATTTTTGAAACTGTGCAATTCATGCGATTTCGGTACCAGGTAATAGTAAAAACTTTTAATACCTCTTTTGAAACCGAACCAACTGAAACTGTTGACACCAACTGTTGAACTTTTAAATATAAATGAACTAACTGTCCTGAAATAATAAAGCGCTTTATGCTGCTTTCTGTATCCTGTTCTTGCTGTGTCTTTATGCCTCTTCTATCTCCTGCGGATAACGCGTCCGGTCGTCCTTTCCTGTGAATACGTTTCATACGGATGTTCTTTACCTCCCCTCGAAGTTTGTTTGAGAAGCTCTGAGTCATAGTAACAACTCCAAACGGAAGCGCAAATTAGTCATTAAAGGAGAAACTAATATAGTTTTATTATAACTGAGAAGAAATGAAGAAAATCACTACTTTTAAAAGAGAAAAATTCCTTGCTTTTTATTAAATACTTTTATCTGAATTATTAAACAATTTTCATTACACATGTTACATAAAATAAAATATTTTTTAAAATTTAATTTGAGAAAAATCTTGCAAAGCACTCAACATATTTATATATGTTTTCTTTTAAATTTTTGTTTTAGTTACGAAAATATATTAAAGATTTAAGCCAGGCATAAATCACGTCATATTAGATCCCTTCCTCCATACATACATATATCCATATACACATATATTAGATCTATCCATTCATACATACATACATATACACATAACCATATATATAAATCCATATAGTATGCATATTTCATAGATCCATCCTTTGGTACATAGATCCATATATATATATATATATATATATATATGGATTCTTTATTTTAGCAAAGTTGGAAAATAAGCACACGAAAAGTGATTTGAATACGAATAATATTTTAAGTAATTAAGAAAGTCAGGAATTATATGCTTCTGTTCGGATAATTCTCCTTATCTCTAAGGAATAAATTGGATTATTTAAATTATGGCAAAGCACTCGAAGGGCATCTATCCAAAGAAAAAGATGCCTTCCTGGAGGATTTCTCAAGGCAAACTGGCTCGTATTCACTTTACACACGAGGAAACCTCGAATTCTTAAGACCGGCAGCCTGGATATGAGCTCGGTTTCAACTATCAGTGGTTGAAGTTACAAGATAGGAGTACTATATTAGATTTCTAATAAGTAGTTCCTTTACTTCTTTTACATGAATAATGGAAAAAGCTACTAATCAAAGAAATATTGCAAAGCGGAAATCTTAATTATAGATGCGCTCTTTTAGATAAATCGCTTTCATAAGAAAAGGCTTTGGAGAGTTTTTTTTTTCCACATTAAATTTGCATATTATCTTTTAATATGCATATAAATTTAAATCTTTATACAAACGTGTCTTAAATGCAAGATGCATATACCGCCTTGCTCATATTGCCAGCAGCATAGCAGCCCATTCAGTTCTGGGCTTGTGTTATAGGCAACTGACCTGCAGTGGAAAATATCAGAGACAGCTAATTACAAATACAAGTTATTTGGAACAGAACTAGTATATAACAAGCTAACTGAGTTTTGCTTAATTAACCTATTAAAGTTTCTGAAGTGTGCTACTTTGATTTATCTCAACTATATAAATTTATATTTGTTCTATAATGAGGAAAAAGAAATTATTACGTTGTAATGAATTTTTTAATTGCAGGAAGAGACCAAAAACGTCTGCAGTAGAATTATTAGTAATACATAGAGCATAATACATATATGAGCAAGCCTGTATTGGCTGAGCGTCGCGATGGGTACTTGTATGTGTTTGGGCAGTTGATGTCATTAGGTGGGGTTCCCTAGAGTAAGGGAACCACACCAGCCTGCTTGACCCGTGCTTTATTTAGTAGCCCTTATGATGAGTGAAAGCAGTATGCCCGTCTCTATTGCGGAAAGCATATTTATAAGTTCCTCATCCGTAGAAACGTGAAACCAGACGAAAGTTACAGACTGCATGCCTAGTTCTGCACAGACTGCATGCCTAGTTCGGGTAGCTACGCTTCCATGGTCAGTGAAGGTTTGGTGCAACGAATTCAAGCAAGACCATGAATGTGTTGCGAATGAAGTTTATCCTCATCCTCATCGCACCAGTGTGACTAATGAAAACACTTCACATGTTCGTGAGCTTATTGAACAGTATCGACGCTGCACAGTGCTTCAAATTTCAGAACTAGTTTTCAGCTATGGAAGTGTCCAATCAGTCATCAGAAAGCAGCTGGGCTTCAGAAAAATCTCAGCTCGTTGTGTTCCAAAGTTACTGAATGATGACAAAAAAGTTGCATTTCTCAGTTGCTTCAAACTCACTTTGAAGAAAAGAAGAAGTGTTTTTGCATAAAATTGTTACCTGTCACGAGGCGTGGGTACATCTTTACATCCTCACCCCCCCCCAATCAAAGCCTGCAGGCATAGAGTGGAGAAGGGAAATCGAAGGAAAACCCCATGAAAGCCAAAACTCGATTGTCTATGGGGAATGTGATGGCCACGGTCTTTTGGACTGGAGGGTGTAGACTTTCTGGTGGATTTCTTATCTGGACGTCAGACCATCAATGCAACTTACTGCTGCGGTCTCTTGGATCAAATCAGGTTTCAGTATCGACGCAAAGGACGAGACTATCCTATCCGCAAAGTGTTGATCCTCCACAACAACGTCAGACCTCACACAGTAAGCGTAAAGCGGCAGAAGCTGGTGGAAATGCATTGGAAAACGCTTGATCATGAACCTTAGAGCACAGACTTTTCACATGTTGGACCCCTCAAAGAAGCACTTGGAGGCAAGCGATTTAAGACCAACAATCAAGTGGAAACATTCGTGCGCAACTGGTTAGACAAATGCCAACTTTATTCTACGAAAATGGAATGAAAACATTACCAAAAACATTGGGGGAAATGTAGCATAAAAGGAGGATATTATTCAGAAAAATAATTATTAGAAACGTAGATGTTTCTTATAAAATAAATTTTGGCTAAATAAAAGGCTCGTTTATATTTGATTCACTCTCGTTAAACAATACTCTGGACTGATTTTAATTCAATGCCAAGAATTACGTAAACGAAACGGAATGTCATCCTGTATTCTTTTCATCCCATTCAGATTTGGGGGTCTCATTTCATAAATAAAAATTATATAATATCCATTTCATCTGATTAAATAGACAACTGATGAAGTGGATATAGTATTCCATTTCATTATGAAATTGCGACAAAGGAGGAGTTGAGTTGTCAAGAACTGTTTTCATCATTTGCGTTAAGGATACAATGAAATTCATTCATTTGGAATATTATTTGTCAAAAATGGTTTGCAATCGGATATTGTCAGCTTACAGAGACATGTAAAAGAAACGTTTGCCTTGAAAAATGAACTCATCACAGAAATTAAGATATGATATCACAGTGAGTAGTATCTCTGTGTTTACTAAAGAGTAAAAAGAACTATGCGACTAATCGGAGGTTACAGAATTCATTCAAGTATTAAAATCTTTTGGACTTCCATTGCAGGGTTCATTTCATAAAAACTCCAACTTTATTTTATCGCGGATTACTGCGGGAAAAATTCTAAAATCCTGTATTTAAATGAAAGTTTAAAAAGTAAGAAATTAATTTTAAAGAATTTTAGGGTTATATAATGAATCGTTTGTTCAGATGTATATAATATCATATAAATACCTGTTATCTAAAAATCAAATTGAGATAAATAAAAAAATAATAATTACCAATAAGTATTTTAGGAAATTCGGTTTAAAATGATTTTTTTAAAATTTAAACAAAATATAAAATTGTCCTAATAGATAAAATATAAATACGATATCACTCTCAAGCTCAGTGATTTTGAGTCCAAGGCCTTTGATATTATCTGAATCTTTCAGATGGAAGGGGGGGAAATAAGTAGATATCACAAACTTTTTTTGCATTTATACGTTTCAAGACGACCGTCGCTTGTATTCTTATAGAGGTCTGGTCACAAGTTACAATAGAGAAAGACCAGATACCTCACAATTTAATAAAAGAAAAAAAATCTAAATGATGGTCGCAGTTCTATTGTCAAATTTAGCTTTCAGCTGTTGGCTTACGTTGACAGCAAGCCCCCCCCTTTTTTTTTTCCAGATTTCCTGCCTTTAAATTGTATAATAATGTATTATATCTTAATTTACATTTCAATAAAAGGTAAAACCATTTGACTTAGTCCTCTTTGAAGAAGCCTTAACTTAGTCAAAAGAACTAAGTAATTCTTCATCCAAATGTTGATTAAGGTATATAAGATGTCATCTCACGAAATTATAAAAATATTATCTTATGAACATATAAAGATGCCAGAAGATGTCATCTTATGAACTTAGTGTTCATTAAGCAACTGTTAAGTTCATAAGATGACTCTAATGTTCATAAAATGAACTTTCTGATGAACTTAAAAATGAATTTTACTTTATCATGAATGTATTTTCTTACATTTTTACTCTCTTGAGACATTTAGCGCCCATTTTAACACAGCTGATTTGCATATGGATTGAGACAATAAAGGTAACTGTAATATTCTTATACTTGTGTTTAAATTTTGTAATCAAGACAGTTCATCCGCTTTGGCCAGTAAGTAGTAAAATGTGTCTTGAGCATTATATTAAATAATTCATTATTAATAATAATGATAAAGATTTTTTTCTTTTCTACCAGACAAGTAATATCGTTGTACATTTTCATAAATTTTACATTTATTTGTTCATAATTTCTTTTCTATGTATTTTTGTATTGTTATGTATTTTTTTTATTTCTTTTGCATTATTTAAAGTAATATTATTTTTATTTATTGTATATTTTATTTTTATTTCAAGTTTGTGGCCACTTTGTGTTCTTAAGTATGCTTATTTAATAGTATATCTTGTATTTTTTTTAATATGAGTCGACTGATGGGTAAATTGTAAAGTTAACTCAAGCAGAATCAGAAATATAGACAGAAACTCTTCTACCAGACTTTGCTGACAGTTGCTGATTTCTCGCCAGTTTGGCGACATTGTGGATATACACAGAAAAGTCATCTTCTAAGTCCTAGCAGGATTCCTAAAAATTTCCAGAAATGATAACTCTCTTTCTCTTCAGTAAACCTAGAAAAGGCCGACATTAACTGATTTCTGACCAGTTTGGTGATATTGTGGAAGTATCTGGAAAAGTCGTCTCCGAAGTCCAAGAAGGACTTTTCTCAAAGTTTCCAAAAGTACTTACTCTCCCTCTTCAGCAAAGCTTAATAAAAGGAGGCTGTCAACAGCCGTAAAACATTCGAATAGAAACTCCTATCTAATATATATAGTTGAACTTTATACTCGCAAATTACTACTATGTTCTGCTGCGGATTTTGATGATCTGCGATATTCCTTGCGGGTTAAGGAGAACTTTCCTTTATCTATTTCTCTCCTATTTAAAAAAAAAAAAAAAACTTTTATTTTTCTCAATAAAGTTTCAAGTTTTCCTGTTCATCAGGTGCAGATAGTTAAGGTAATATCAACGAATCCGTAAATGTAGCCATATGAACTGCTCTTCACCGTCTATATTGCGTGTGTTCCGAATGTCTACAATTTGCTTGCAAACTACGCTTTCACAGATTTTCCATCATTTTTTTTAAAAATTTTTTATCTAGTTAATCAAAAATTTCTATTCTTTTATATCATTTAATCTTTACTTCGCATTTTGATATTTTACGCATAATATCTTGATAAGTGCAAAGCAAGATAAAACCAAAAATGAAAACAGACACAACACGAAAGATATGTAAGTTCATATTGATTCTGATTTGAACTAGCATCGATAATAATAGCAACTGCTTTTTAAGAAGAATAAAAATTAAAGCCATTTTTATTTTTAGAGAATAGAGCATCATTATTGCTCTCAACAACATGTTTCCATTTAGAAAATTATTTTCGCAAAAAGACACTAATAAACATTATTGATTCAGTTAGTATAGTAATGCATCTAAAAACGAACTCATGGAATGTGAAGATTTTACCCGTTCAATATATTGTTGCGAGCGTACGGGTTCGTTATGAAATGAATGCACAAGTCCGATGAAAAATAAACAAAAATTTATTATTATCACAACAAAAATGCTTAAATTTTCTCAAATATCATGCAGTATTACAATATCTCACAGTAGTTATCTTTTAACTACTCAAATGTCCAATAGAACGTAATTCAAAACAGCTAAAGAACGCTAATCCGCGAATTCGCTACAATCAATAAGAGCAGTTTTCTAAACAACAACAAACTAAGCAACTACTACGAACTGAGATGTTTTCCTCCTTTTATAAGATTTTAAAATCACGCGCTAGAATTTTCTAGTACTTTCTCGAAATCAAAAAGAGATATTTATTTATTTAATGCACGCGCTCTTGTATTTTCAATTTTCCGGCTTAGCTTTCTTTTAATATTCGTCACGCGCTGCACTACGCGAGAAATAAAACCATTTAATTTATAATTGAACTAACATTAGCTTTTTAAATACCAAATTCGTAACACTGCCCCCTTCCCAAGGACTGCACGTCCCGGGCAGTACAATCCCTGGACTGGAAGCTAAACTTACAACTGTGGCATAAATGCATTAATAAGCATTACATTACAATAATAAACAACATGAATAATTAATGCAATAAATAAAACAAATCAAATGCTATCAAATACTAAATGCAAATCAAATACTAAATACAAATCAAATCAAATACACATTTAAAAACAAAATGGACCATGGTCTTATACTATTTACAATTATTTACATTATGTACTATGGCCATAGTAACGAGCTAACCTGTCGTAATGAACGACTTTAGGTTTAGTGTTCGAAGACTTACGGATCCGAACCACGACGTCGTTCAGCCTGTTTAGGACTGTGTACGGACCATCCCAAGGTGACTGTAATTTTGGACAAAGTCCTTTCCGTCGAGTCGAATTCCACAACCACACCTTGTCTCCTTCGTGGAACTGATGTGCAGTAGCTCTTGTGTCGTAGCGGGTCTTCATCTTCTCCGTCGCCAAGTTGACTCGCTCTCGTGCAAAGTTGTGCATCGCTTCAAACCGGGCCTGTAGAACTTGAATATATTCCTCAGGCGATGAAGGAGCATCCGGAGGGCGACCAAACAAGAGATCACAAGGCAGACGAAGGTCACGACCGAAGAGCATCTGTGATGGGGAATAGCCGGTAGTCTCGTGGACAGCACTGCGGTAAGCCAGTAAAAACAGTGGTAATTTCTTGTCCAAATCCTGTTGGTTTCTAGAAACCACTAATGAGAGGTTATTAAGGATGGTTCGCTTGAACCTCTCTACCATGCCGTCCGACTGGGGATGCAATGGCGTCGTTTG